AGTGTAAATTTACAACTTATCATAGATATAAATAGATTATCTATCAAGGAAGATAATTAAATTTAAAAAGAGCGTTTTTCGGAACATTCGAAAAGCTACAAAAATTCTACTTTCCAAAATGAAAAAAGGAGAAATATAATATGTATATGAAGATGTAAAAGAAAACATAAAAAAATCAAATTTAAAAAGTTTACGGCTTTCAGCTCGAAGCTTATAGGAAGACTGATCACAAAAATACTTTTTGTTAAAAAGAAACTTTAATAAAATAATAAACAAGAGAAAAACGTATTCTATTTAAAACAACTATTTTTAACAAAGTATAAAGTGTAATAAAATTATACCGATAATTGAATACAAATGAAATTAAATCTGTAACTTCAAAAATCATCTGAGCTTCTTATGTCACGAAGTTAAAGACAAAAAAGTTTGAAGAAAACTTTAGCTTTTTCTTGCTATGCTAGACACGTAACCGAGCCCATGTTCATTTGCCAAGGAGTGGGTAAGTTTGGCGACAATCGTAAGTACAGCCACGCATATAGAAGTGGTACTTATTACTTTCACTAATTACTATCTTCAGCGCCCAACCCACGTCCACCTGCCAAGGATGGAATAACGCTTGCTCAAATTAAAAAAAAAGTTCGCAATTCTTTTTGCACGTTGTATTTTTTATTTTCGTGATATAATATTTATCGTCTATGCATCCCTGCTTTTATTCTTTAAGTTACCGTCTTTGCAGCACACGTCAATAAAAATGGGTTAAAAGCAAGCCGCAATTCAAACCAAAAATATTAAAAAAAAGCCTAAAAGTATCCAGACAACATTTATAAATGTTAATATTGTAAAAAGTATATTATATCGACATGAAATTTATACTAATTTTGCAAATAATTAGTATAACTAGTTGACTTTATATCACAGAAAACTAGATAAAATTGAAGATTTTTCTGAGTCTGCAAGGCCGTGCACATCAAATTAACACGTCCTTAAGCCGATAGAACGCAAGTCCAACGGTAACGAGGGGCATGTTATAGTAGGATACATCTCCTCTAATATAAGGCGAGCGAGTATAGCACTAATTTATGCACTTTTGAATTATAATCACTCCACATATCAAGAATGCGGACAGTTGTCATATTCTTGTAAAGAGCCACCAGTGTTTCATCGAGTCAAAAATGAAATACCTCTTTTCTATATACAATAAGAAAAATATGTGTTGTAAAGGCCTTCAGGGACCACAAATAAAAAGTTTAATTTGCCACATCTGCTATGTAAATATATTTTTCATAAGAGCATGCATATTTTAACGTACAAGTGGTTTTCGAAATCAAGCAAATGTGCTTGCAAGTAGTGAAAGCCAAAGTCTAATTATGCAAGAAGATCATATTAGAAAAATCAACTAATGAGCTTAGACCAATAATAACATAAAAAGTCATGCCCGATTTGCATAAACCTTCTCATTGTATTGGATAGAGACTTGGCATTTCTTAATCATAGTAAGAATTGTTTAAAAACGGTTGAATGCGAAGTAGAGAAAAGGACTATTCAAATATAAGGAACGCAGTCATTCAATCGGACGATTAGGAAAAATAATTAATAGAATAAAAATCTTTTTAATGCCATAAGGTCATTGAAAATTTTTTGGCGTTGACCTGTGCCAGCACTTCCGAATATATCTTGAAATAATCCAATACCAGTTTTCGCTGGACATCAATTGCTGAGTTATTCGTGCTCTCTCTAGGAATATAGAAATTCGCTCTCTCAAGGAAATATTTCCATATTCCTAAGTTCTTTTGTCCTTTTTATATAAAGAAGGTTGAAAAAAAAATTAATTTGTCCGATCTGATGTTGCAAATACATTCGGCATCAAAGCAATAATTTTAAATATACGAATAAACGTGTACATATGTCGGTAGCAGAGAAGAAGGGCATTAGATTATCTCGATTTGTTGATTGTTATGAAATTTATTGCGAAAATGCCTAGCGTGTAGAGATTTACTCACGCCAAAATCGGTAACTACGCATGTATATATGCTACAACACATGGATTGCTCTTTAAGAGATAATTTTGCATATTACACGAGGTATGTCAAATTTGTGAATCGTGCACAATGCAAAGACACGTGCATCAGTGGCATTCAAAACTTGGGGTAATAATCCAATGATTTGGACTAAATTGGCCAGGCTCTATAATTAGGCTAAGAAAAAAAATTTTGAACTTCAAGATATAGGTAAAAGTTTTCTGTTAAGTGTCAACGGGTAGAATTCGAACCTCATCTAAATCAGTTTATAAATACTAAAATCAATATCTAAAAAAAGACGCCATAAATTGAAAAGGTGCTGTATGGCTTCTTATAGCGTACATCACATCGTACCTAGTATTGTATATGAATGAATTTCACTTGCATTTATTTATTTATATGTGCAATATAAGTACAATATCTTGACGACACTCCTCTTTTCACAAGTAATTAGTGGGGACTAAAAAATTCGATCCAAGCTCTTGTATTTTTTTAATTATTTGAACGTCGATGAAATTGTTCTACCAGTATACAATCGGTAATTTTCCGGATGTAAAAACATAAGAAACGAAAGTTTTATTCTCACTGCGCGACGCCAGTCTAATAATTCACATCACCAGCAATTGAACACGAATACCGTCGATCATTGCTTTACGTATAGGGGTTCTTATTTGACGAGCCTGTAAGTTTTCTTCTATTCTAAATAAAATCGCGTTGTCCATCAAAGAAATTGTTGCTGCTGTACTATCGAAGTCTACATTGATCTAATATTACAATTAGTTTTGTGCTTGAAATTATTTGCTTCAAATTATGTGCATAAGAAAGCCAAATTATAAAATTTTAAATTAAAGAGAGAGAAAAGCACTGAAAGCCAAAAAACTTGGAAAATTATGTTCATCTTAGGTCGAATTGTGGATACTCGCCACTTGGTCCATAATATTAATTTACCACTTTTTAATTCATGACATTTTATAAGGAAGGCAGAAAGTCGTACATACTCCATAGTGTGTAAATTCAATTACATTGATCTTTTAGATTCTTAGCAACGGCATTTACGAAAAGTAAATATTGGTATTTTCTATTCTGTTTTCTTTTTGTGTGTCAAGTGACAGAAGTATTTATATTTCACGAGGAGCAGGCGTGATTGTCGTTTAATTTACTTCCAAAACTTTTACATTAAACGTATCTACAAGTTCAGAGTCTAATAATAAAAAAAAAAAAATAAAACGAAATGACCAAATTAGTACAACTCCAAACTATGTGCGTAGAATAGCCATATAACAAATCGGCTGTTAATCAATAATTATTTTTATGTCTAAACATATATGAACACTATATTCATGTGCGAATTTTTTATATTTACCACTTGAAACTATAAATATTTCAGATATTTGTGAATTATTCTATCCTCAGAATTTTTTATCTCCTTTTAGGGTTTTTCAAGCTTTATTAAAAATTCACTTGCAACACATTGACAAATCCAAACAAACTACCAGATGCACATTGCAAAGAAAATGAAGATTGTGTCTGTGACCGTGAACAAATATAAAAAATAAATTTACGATCAAAATCGATTGTTATTTAGAAATAGAAGATGTAAAGCCATTATTAACTACAATAATTATTCACAGAAGGATGGCTGCATAAGGCAAACGATAGTTTTAACAGCATTTAATCAGTTTTGAGGTGAACTTTGTAATCTTCCTCTTTTTGAAAAAAAGTGTAAGGTATTGTAACCTAAATATTGTAAAAAAGTCTGGTAGCTTATAGCTATAGGAATATTATTAGTTTTTCCGATATTTGAAGATTTTGATGCTTGTAAAATTTTCTTAGCTTCGGTCGTATAAAGTGCCTATATGCCTGATAACTAAATGCCGTCGCTTTCTTCAAAATTATCGAAGACAAAATTGATACATAATATTAGAGTTTAAATTGTTAGTGAATCACAATTAAATTGGACATTCATTTACTAACTCTCATATATATGCAGTGTCAAGAAAAGGACGTCTATGTATTTTTTCACCTTTCATAATATCTTCGATATTATACTATACAAGATAAATCAAAATAAACAACAAATCTGAGACGCATTGACTACGTATATTAAAAAAATTGAAATCCGGGACATCAATCAAATTTGAGATTTAGGGTGCTAGATATCCTTGTTAAAATTCGATTTCTGTCTCCTAAGGATTCTCCCTAAGAATATTACCAAATTTTATGTTTACAAATCTGGCTAGTGAAAATAACTCAATAAGTCAGCTAGACTGTCCATAATATCATGCTGATGCAATATCGACTGTATGTCTAATTTTACGGAGAAATTTTGATACACGTCATTCGAACTGGTTTTTTTCTTGAAATAAGGGGAATTAAGGAACGCATTCGACATGATCCGTAACGTATGCGGAATTTATTTATATATTGGGAATGGAAGGAAAATACGAGTACTGAAGTAATGGTTCTTCTTCATTTCCGAAAGAGTAAAAGCCGCTTGATAAACTTCAAATAAGGGTTATGCGACGTATGAAGGGAATACTAGTATGGGAAGATAATATGTGCTCCAGAAATAAATGTGGTCTTGTCATACTTTTCCTCTTTCAAAACTAGGATTTAAGGTATCAATGTCAAAATTTCCTGCTGATAAGTATACCCAAAAAGCCAAGAAGACCAAGCAGACAAGGTTCCACCATTTTAATTACTTAGAGAAAGTTAGTACAACCGTCTGAGATATTCAAATATATGTCTTACAAAGCCCGATATTGAACCGTTTAGTTTATCACTTCTTCCAGGGGGCATATATTATTTTACATAAAAAAATTTCCACCTCTTTGGACTGCCTCTAAACGTAGTTTGGTAGCTTTTTTGATCAAAAATTTGCAGGGTTTTTATGAAAAAGAAATATTGATCTAAAATTCATGAAAAATATTCAGTTCAATTCGGCTTCACAAAATGTAATCAGGTTCTTCAGCGGCGAGTTTCACAATTTTAACTAAAACGGCTTAAGGACCTTCATATGCTAACCGATTGGAAAAAAGGCCTCCTTTCACTTTATTCTCGGATAAAATATATTAGTGAAGAGTATAAATATTTTTTTGGAATGCAAAAATGAATAATGATTAATTTTTGACTAATTCAGAAAGTTATATTTTAAGGTGAGCGGCCTGAAACCCACTAGCGTACAATTAAAATTCATGATTGTGTTTATTATAAACTGAATAGAATATACCAATAAAAATTATTTTATTCAAATCTGTCGGGTTTTTAAATTTATCTTATAATTTCTGGTGATATATGGATTAGAATTCAGAATGCATCTTACGCATCATGGTGGGGACCCTCAAATGGATACGTTAAGGAAATCAAAAGCTCAGGAGTTTGGAGATCTTATGCAAGCTCTGCTGGAACGAAAGGGAAAATTTCAAATAATTTTAATTATTTTGCTCTCTTTAAATAGTATGCTTATTGGCATTAACCACACTATAACCACATTTCACGCCTACGTACCGAAGTTCTATTGTCGCGTAAGTTAAAGTAGAAAAGTTTTAATGGTTTACTTTATAATTAATTAAACTTTGACTTGGCGATTATGTTTTCACTAACAGGATCACATTAATTACACTTGCGGTTATTTCGTCAATGGTACTGAATGTCCGAGTGGTTACCATTTTGATGAGAATGACGACACTACTTTAGCTGTGGAGGTAAAATGTTTATATATGCATTATGAGCAATATTAAAATAATATTTTTGTCAATATAACAGTATAGCACAGTATGCAGACGAGCAATGTTGGCGCCACTTATTAACAGTTTATATTTTGTTGGCGTAACATTAGGATCAATAGTGTGCAGTAGCATGAGTGATGTTTATGGCCGTAGAAAGCTTGTAATTGCATCATTATACGGTCAAGCTATTATGGCTTTAGCTCAATACGTTTCCACTCACCTGATGCTATTTATTGTATTTCGCCTAATGCAAGGATTTTTCATACAAGGCCTGCAGACCGTTTCTTATGCATTAATCATGGAATACAGCCCCTCACGTTTTCGCACTGTTGCTGCAACTTATTGGGAATCCAACTGGGCCATTGGGTTAGGTATATTGGGCGCAGTTGCATACTTTGTACGCGATTGGCGAATGCTAACTTTAGTGTTGACACTGCCTGTTTTTCTTACGTTATCATATGTCTGGTGAGCAAGCTTTTCAGAGCAGAGAGCCTCTTTCAGATATATTTATATATATATGTATCTATGTGTATGTATCTATATGTATTATATATCCATATATATCTATATATATAGATATATATATGTATTGTATATATATATATATAGATATATATATGTATTGTATATATATATATAT